TAATGAGGAAGAAGGGCTTGGAAAACTTAACCCTCACAGGGTATATTGAGAACAAGAGAGATGGAGAAACTATGTACCTGATGAGCTTGTGTGAATGGATAGGGTAAGGCTTGGCAAAGGGAGAAACACTGCTATGGACCACAAGGAATAGGAAGTTGTGGAGTAGTGGCGTAGCTAGTTTTTTTGCTGCCCAGGGCAACCCTCAAGTTTGTCCCCCCTCCCCAGAAGGAATAAAATATTACAATGCACGCAGTCTGATAAAATTAATTTCATTTTTAAAAACTGAAATAAATGTTATCATATTTTAATTCTTAGTCTATTTTGCTTAATGAAACTTCAATTATCTAAACAAAAAAATAAAACATTGCATTGTTTTACTACTGTGAAAACTTGTAAATTGAAAAAAATGCCCATTTTTTTTCATTTTAAATAAAGTTTCTGAACTTAAAAAATATATTAATTTTCAATTTTCTTTTAGATTTTCATTTGATATTTCTGGAAAAAATTAGAATGCATGTGATATCTTTAAAGCATTGGAATTATTCCAATTTATTTATCTATCTAGTTTATAGTTTATGAAAAGTAACAATTTTATATCCACATTAAAGCTAGGCCGATGATAAAATAAAAAAAAACAATTGGTTCACTTATTTTTTTTCACTAAGATTTCACAGACATGAAAAATGAAAATCCAAGAACTGATGCAAAGTCTGGACTTCACACATAGGTGTGAAAAAACTCTGGATTCACTAAATTCACTTAATCCAACCCCACATCAAGCCCTTTAGAATGTTCAAATTTTTTTTACACCTTTTGCTTATGTCTTGTAAGTGGGGTTTATTCCCACCAGCTGACAGTGCATTTTGGAAACAATTTTGATATGGCTGGCTGGCTTTAAGCCAGCCAGCCAGCCATATCAAAGACAAATTAATTCCATTTGAACCCTATCTTCTTTATTGCTGCTTTTTTTTGAAAAAGCATTGAAATTATGCTATTGTTTTTTCTTTTCTGAAAACTCACCACAGACCAAAAGTGCCTCCTGAGGCAACCCCCCCCCACCGCTAGCTACACTACTGTTGTGGAGAGTCATGATCTCTCATGTCCTGAAATGATACAGCACAGAGAAGAAGAAAAATATATAGACATTTTAATTTGAGTAAGTATTTCACACACCTAGTAAGCTATAAATAAGCATTTAAAATTATCAATAATCAAAAAGTGAATAATTAAAGTCATTATAAAACATAATGGTGTAGCCTTTTGTTGATCCTGGTCAAATGACAACCAATAATGTAACCCACACCCCCACATTGTGCTCAAGCTTCTTCAGACCACTGTGGTTACCATCTTGCTGACTCCTCACTCATTAGAACGTGTTTGGTTTGTTGCTGGTATCATGATAGGCATGGTTCCACTTGACTTAACTGGTGTTTGTTCATGACCATTCACTCCTCTCCTTGTGTTTTTGATTTTAGAGAGTGAGAAGATTGCTGAAGATAGTGAAGATAGGTCAACAACTTGGAGCTACATACAAAAAGAATTCTTTGGAATAAAGAATTAACTCTGGTTAAAAATGTAACAATTATTTGGTTTATATATAATTTATTGTATACAGCAGTTTTAACTCTTCTCACTTGTTGTTATAATCAAATGATACTGGGATCCCCTTTGGAGTTTGCAGATTGTTTTAGTTAGTAGTAACTTAAATTTCTTTGTTTTGGTCTTCAGGACTGACACAAGGTCTTGGTCGGGAGGTCTTGGCAAATGATGTGGATTTCAGTAGCAGTAGTGTGGGTACTCTCTAAGTTGTCCAAACCACCAGCTTATATGGAGTCCTGCATCTAGCAGGGGTGAGACTGACCAGGGTCTGGGTTCAGTTAACTACCACCCTTAACATCAATCTTTTTCTAAAATTCCATATTCTCAAAATATATTTACTTGAGTGATTTACCAAATTTGGGGTTGTCCAGCCTCCTTTTTAGAGTGGTCAGAAGAATCAAGATGTCACTTAATTCCAACTTCCTTCATGTCTCATCTCATACCATTGCTCAATACAGGCAAGTGCTAATCTCTCTTTTTTATCTCCCACTTTCTCAGCATTTAATCTCAGTCCACTCCAAGAGCTGACACACCATTCCTGTGATGAATCCATACTTTCAAAATGTGTAGGCAAAAAGAGATTTTCCAATAATGAATTTTTTTTCATCAGTTTGCCACACACTGTGATTTCCAAAGCCAGGAACTTGTTTGGTGCCCATCCTGATGACTCCCCTGCCAGCCAATCTCAAGAATTGACATGGGTGAGAAAGTATAACATTTTTCTGTCAGTCAGACCATAGTCAAATGCTGCCACTTGCTGCTAGGTTTGTCACTCTGATCTAAACCATTCCTCTGCCCACATTGATCACAGAGCTGGCAAAGGATCAGATTGTCATCAGCAATTGCAGTGTTGGTTCAATCCTGGCAAAGCTGTATCACAAAGGAATTTAACACAAAAATGTCCTTGCAGTTAAAGAAAAGACAAGAGTTCTGTAGGATCTAGTTCTATGAAAATTTATATACTGTTTTTATACAATAAATTGATTCTGGGTATAAAACATTAACCCGATCCACGTTTTGTTGTGAAACTATGCTGTGGAACAAGGCTTGAGTCAAAGGTTCTTTCTGGCAGTAACTCATCAGGCAGGGTTGTTATCTGTAGTCTGGAACCCCTTCTTGATTAATCATCTCAGTATTCTGCTTATCTTGACTTCCACCCAAAACTGGCATGGAGGTTGATGTGGATATGAGGACTCGGTGGTTTCTCTATCTCCACCAAGGCCTTCCTTGTTGTCTGGCTCTGCATAATTAATTATACTTCCAAATTTGGATAGACCTCTTTTTCAATGGGTAGCAATCACAAGATATCAATTTGACCAACTCCTTCCTTCTCTTATTTGTGCCTCACATTAACACTTCCTAATGAGTGTAAGCAATTCCTCCTTCCTCCTTGGTATTTTACCTGCATCTGACACCTTGGCTGCCCTTCGACCAATCTGACTCTCAACTGCTTTTGTCATTTTAAATTTTGCATAAGCGAAATTTCTCAGTCTGGTCTTGCTTAAAAATCAGAAATTTACCAGCTGCTTCCTCTGGTCAGTCACCCCCCATAATCCCCCCAGAGTCATTGCACTCCAAGCACGCTATGTTAAACAAAGAAACTTTATTCCCTTGATTTGGTTACGGATCAAATTTTATCCATTCTGCTTATATTGTTTTCATAACTGATGCTCCTCTGAGCTGCCTCATTAATCAGCTGTCAGCTTAAAGATCGCCATATGGCTTTTGTAATAATATCACTTTCCTTCAAAACATCTCTGCCCTAAAAAGAAATAGGCTTTGGAAATAAATAAGAATCCCTTTTTCTTCTCTCAGTCTGCCCATCGTTCTATTTATTAACCCTTCTTGTCTCACTCCAAGCTATGTTTTTGATTTAACCCCTTTCTTTTACTTTGCCAGTGTCACAAAAGAAAAATATTCCCAATCTCTTTAGTGATAAAAAAAAGCAAGACCACACAGACCTTTTTTTGCCCACGGTCACTCTAAAGTAGTAATTAATTTTTCTTTATCACTTGTATCCAAAGGAATTCAAATTAATGTTGGATATAAATTTTTTCTTGATGAATGTCACAGAAATTAAAATGAATGAACCCATTAAGATAATTTTTATCTTTGTAAGGACACTTGGCTGATTCAAATCGAATGTGGTTTCCTGGCATTTTTTTTCATCCAGAATGATCTTTAAATGTTATTTCAGTGAACACTCAGGTTTTTTTTATTGCCAACATGTTTTCTATTTGATATCTTCGAGGATACATTAATTGTCTCTTTCTCTTTGTTGGGAAGTGGGAATGGATGGGTGGTCTTGGTTTTGCACAATCTTATTGAATTCTGTCAAGTTAGAGTTTTGTTCTCCTTGAATCTGCTCACAAGTTCACTTACTACTTTGAAACATGATTTTCTCAATGCATTTCATTTATATTTTTATCATCTTTTCAATCCATCTTTCTATGAATTGCAACAAGTATCATCCAGTTAGTAGACTCTTTCCTCTTCCTTCTTTCTTTCTTTCCCTTTTTGTTTGCTCAACCCTGAGATCCCAGTGTTACAATGAGAGTGCTATACAAAAAAAAGAATATTCCATGTTTGCATTTTATAGGCATTATTATATCCATGATATAATAACACCTTGATTCATGGATAAAACAGAATAGCTGAAAGAAGGGAATGACAACTTTGAATACTCAAAAAGGATTTTTATATGGACATATATCTACTTATCACAAATTTGTCCCACACAGGTAAATTATAACATATGTATACAACAAGCAGTGTGAAAGGGACAAAAAGAGAGAGGGTCTTACTTATATTTCTCAATGGGAAAAAATTGGAAGTGTCTTCTATGTACTTGGTGAGACTATGTGGTTTTCTCTTTATGCCCTACTATTGTGGGTTTATTATAATGTAACATCTGTCTTCTTTGCAGCTGAAATAGCAACTCATATGCATACAACAATCAGTGTGATAGGCAAGAAAAGAGAGATGGTCTTACTTGCAAAATTTCTCAGTGGGAAAGATGTGCAGGTTAGTCATGTCTTCTATGTATCTGGTGAGACCATGTGGTTTTCTCTGAATGCCCTACTGCTGTGGGCTTGTCATGTCTGCTTTCTTTGCAGCTTATATAGCAAATCATCATGTTTTAATTGCTAAAAGTACTAATTAAAAACTGGATTTAGTCACTCTATGTATTGACAATCACTCACCAGCCATCATCTCAACCAAAGGGAGATGATTGGCTTTTGCATCCCTACACAGGGAGTTAATATTTGATTAACAAAAGAAATTCAGTTAATATTTCAATATTCAACATCTTTGAGGATCTGGTAAACCTTGAAAATCAACGCTATTTCTTTATTCATTTTTGACTAGGTTTTTGCTTTCATAGTCTTGTTACTTTTTGGCTTGCAGCCATATCATGTTGAAACACAGTTCCTGTACAATCACTAAAGTTAAGCAACATCGAGCCTGGTCAGTACCTAGATGGGTGACTGCTTGAGAGTACCAGGTGCTGTAAGCTTGGATGTGTAGGTGGTGTAATGAATAAAGGCTTGGAATTGGAAATCGGAAAGCTAAGTTCAAATTCCAATTGGATTTGTTATATTCACTTACACACAAATACCCTTAGGAAAGGTATATTATCTCTAAAAATAAAATTGCGTACAAAATATTTAGATTTCAGCATTAAATAATCTATAGAGGTGTTGATATGCTGCTAAACAAAAACAACAAAACCAATCTTGTTATTTTTTTATCACAATACTTTGGTTGTTATAATGTATGACTATTAAAATAAGCAATCTATGTATATTAGACAAAGTAGCCTGAAGTTTTGCTAAAGGTCTTTTCTGATTCAGGATGCTTAATAGTTCTAGATACTAATTACTAGTGAGAGGATGATTAATTGAGTATTGAAATTGCAATTGAGGAATTTTTAACCTAATTTCCAATTCCAAAAATGAGTATTTGGATTTTTTTTTGTTTAAAACTTAATTTTCCATTCCTGGTACTAATGATAAAAAGATATTAAATATTTATTGATTTTAAACTATCAGTAAAACTAAAATCTATAGATCATAACTCCTAAGTATGATGTAAATTTATTTTACATGTGTTAAAAAAAAAAAAAGAAAATGTGCAAGTTTCTACTCAATTCTCAAACTTTCCATAAATTTTGCTAGTGTTTTACAGTCTGCTTCAGTTCAAAATAAAATTTTTATTTTTAATTTCGTTTCAAACATTGTTAATTAACAATTTAATATAAATTATTAATTTAATAATTAAAATCAAAATTATGTAATATTAAACAAGATGAAATCACATTGTTGTTCTGCTGGGCTCTCTTTTAAAACAATTTTTATTATTTTTTTTAATTTATAAAAAAGAAAAAAAATGAATGTATGGAATTCCCATCAAAGACAATTTGATTTCTTCACATAAAAAAATTGACCTTGTGTCCTAAATTGTCCTTGTTTTGTTTTTATAATAGTTTTAATCTATAAAATCATTTTTTTAGTCTCAGTTATTGAAAAAATTTATTTTTTGTTTATGTAGCATACTACATTAACAAAAATAAATATTCTTTTCAATAATCAAGACATAAAAAATAATCATTTTTTTTTCATGGTACATAAATTTGTTTCTATGAAATTCATGTATTTCTTAAAATTCTATAGCTTTGGAAATGGATTTTCATCTTTATTGACTTAAAAAATAAACAAACTTTTATTTGAAGTTACCTGAAAAACAGCTTTTTCACACAAGTTTGTATAAAAAAAAACATTTAATTTCCATCAAAAATTGTATTTAATTTTATTTTACTAACATTTTTCTTTGGCATAATTATTATAACTTCCTATTGTAAGGTTATTGTTATAACACATACTCGTACTTGATATAACGTAATTGTTATAAGTGTTCTCTATTCGCAATGCTTAGGCTACTTTCCATAATGCCTGTATAATTAGTATGAAGACTGACTCTCACGACTACCAACATACCTTGGAACTCTTTATAGTATTGAACAAGTTCATAGAATCACCAGGGTTGTAAACTTTACACCACAACATCCCTCCTTTTGAGATTAATACATTATTAAATAAATATATTTTTTATTTAGTATTAGTATCTTTTTGGAACGTTTACCAATGTACTTTGCAGCGTTTTCTTTTTCTTGAATTTGTCCTTATAAGTTCTATGACTTGTTTTGGTGGTGGCACATCAAAAATTTCATACTGCATTTTTATTGGTTCTTTAGCTCCTTCACCAGTGAATTTTTTCTTCAGCTGATTTTGGTGTCTTTTATGTTGAAATCTTTTCCCACCATTCAACTTCACAAAAATTTCTTCTGGACTTGGTAATGGGTAGTTGTGTGCTCTGAGACAACTATTTAATCTAGTCAAGAAATCTGCACAAACATAAATTTTATGATTTCTTTTCTTTATGTACACCACTGGTGCAACCCATTTTGAATAGTATATTTTCTTTAATATACCAATTCTTTCTACTCTTCATTTACTAGTTCTAATGCTGCAAATGGTACATTCTGTTTCAGCTTAAATACTGGCATCACACCTTTTTCTTACTTGAAAATTTGTCTTGAATTTTGAACACTGACCCAATTCATTAGCTAGAACTTCAAGAAAATTTTTTTTAATTCTTCCTTAAGATTTTCGCTCCGACTTTTTAAATTGGTCACTTATCCACTTACATTTTTACAATAAGTCTTCATTGGCAAACCCACCATTTGAATAGTTCCATCCAGTCTATACCGAATACATCCATAGCATTTCTTAGAACATAAGCTTTTGTCTTTACCTGCTTATTTTGAAAATAGACATCACAAGTTAATTCTCCCCAAAATATAATTTCTCTCCAGAAACTGATGGAAACTTTGGAAGTCCTTTTTAATAAAGGTTTCCCAATTTCTTTCCATGTGGTTTCATTTTTTATTGAAATGTCACTACCAGTATCTAATAACATTTTTACTCTCACATTATTGATTTGCACATTAACAAATTTTCTTTCATTTCATGTGACTATTTTTTCCATTACAATGCTGTGTATTAATTTCTTCCTGCAAGAATTTTTTCTTCGTTTATAAATTTTCAAGAATAAAAAAAATGTTTCGACTTTATTATAATTCTAATCATTGCTTTTTAAAACAATGATCACTGGCAAGGAGTGAGGGTAATTAAAATAATGGTGGTGTCAAGGGAAAAAATGTTCTTTTGACACCATTTTTTTGTGAACAAGAAGGTTAAATATTGCCAAATATTGATTACATAAAAGTTGATTTTTTTTGTCTTAAATTTGTCTGAAGTTCAAAAGTTTATATTACATAAAATAAAAACAAACCAGATAAACTGTATACTGATTACTATTAATGAATGTACAAAAGTCAGACCATATTTACTAAAATCAATTTGGTTAACCAAAGGATAAATATTACAATAACTAATTTAAAATTAATTTCATAAATGGGGCATTTAGTTGCAAATTACAGGAAAATGTTTCCTGTTTTGAAGGGAATATATATTTTTACTTTCTTAAGAAAAAATGTCATTTAGGAATATTATAGTTCACTATATTCCCCAAATGCAAACTGTTCAAGAAAATTTTTTCTTCTTTTCTCAGCCTTAAAATTATTTCATCACAAAAGCAATATAAAGTATATTTGTTTAACCCTTTAGCATTCAATAACTCTCAAACCTGCTCCATAAATATCAGTTCTCAAGTCTCACTGTGCGATTTCTTGTGTTACTTGCAATGTCATCATATATTATAGCAGAGTATACATAGGGATGGTTATGGTGGGTCAAACTTTGAGAGCCGATATTTAAAGTGGGTGGGTTTAGGCTGTTTGAATACTAAAAGATTAAAAAAACTGAAATATGTTTTGATAGTTACTTAAAATTCTTTAAAGACTGAATCCAATTTTCCTGATTTTTATTAATGACATTCTTCTATATTTTCCAATATAAGAATTTCATCCAAAAGCAAGAGTGGCACCACAAAATAAAAAGTGGTGGAAGGTTAAATAAGATGCTAAAAGTGGAGGGACTAAATCAAGTGTGAAATTCTAAAGATTTCCGATTCTATATTTTCATCTGAGTCTCTTATAAATGAACTTCTTTTTAGGTTTAGTATCATGCTGTAAACATTTTTTGTTTTGATTTTACATAAAACTTTTTTTTTTGATCATATTTATTTTTTGGAATAAGACTTTTTCCCATATATAAGTCATTTAAACATTTTAGAATGTATTTATGGTATATAGAGATGAAGGTTGGGCTAATACATAAGTAAAGGCCAAATTTACTTTCTATAATACCATTTTATTGTTGACTCCATTTGGTTACAGTAGTTAAACAATTCAACTAGAAATCGTCTTAATCAAGGTTATTGTGTTTTGGGTTGACAGAAATTAATTCATTGAACACATCCTTTCTTCTTTATCTTCTGGAGTTGTATGTCAGGTCAAATTCACAGCTGATGAATCTTTGCATCTCAAACTGCTACATTAAACCAATTTCCCACTTTTTCTGGGGTGCACATGGTTTTTTTTCTTCTTTTTATTGTGCCTGACACATCCGTTTGATTTTTGGTGGAACATGTTTTCATTGTTTGATTTTTTTATGACGATCACTGACCCACATACACTATGTCTAGGTTCTGTCAGTTACTGAGGATAGGAACAATAGAAGGAAAGGAAGTACGTGTATTAGAGAGAGAGAGTTTTCTTTGTTACTATCTTAGTCAAAAGGAAAGTGTATATTTCATATGGTGTTACTACTACCTAATCTTACTACATATTATTTGGAAAAAAGAAAAGAGAAATGAAGTTTTACAATTTATTTTAAAAATGAATGACATTATGATTTTAAACAAATTATACAGCTCAGCAGGACTTGTGCAAGGGTCTTGTACTCCTCTCGAATCTATAATATGGGGATCCCCCAATCTACTACATCTCAATTTTAATAAAGTGGCATTCATATAAAATACAAATTTTATTGTAACCTAATTATGTACAATAATGGCTCATATTCAATATAGGTGAACACTTCAACTAGAAAAATTGAAAACAACAATGTATCTAAATAAAATTAGAGACATCCCATAATAGATCATTCCTTCTTAAATAAATCAGCAATGTTTTGCAGCAATTTTTAACATCAACTTGAGATTTTTCTTGTTAAAAAGTTTAATAATTTTAACACATTCAACATTATGGATGAACAATATTGAATTTTATATAGTAGTTTTATGAGACTTAGTATGAGCAAAAAACAAATTTACTTATTTATAAAAAAAAACAAAAAAACTCTGAAATGATGTTAAAATCTGAAGATTTTTCATCCTTTAAGTCAATTGAGCTTAGTTTAATTTGTAACATATATAAACATAGGTAGAAAAAGAGAAAAATGTTAAGATAGTAAGTGTCACAAAGCACTGCTCAGGGATCCCCAATCAGTCTCCCCACCACTACTCAGAAGGGGTAATATGCACTGGCGTT